TTCACGAGAAAAACAAAACACCACAAAAAAATTCAATGTCTTAAAAACTTCTGAAATGAAAAAGTACTAAAAAGGTCATGGTCAAGGTATGTACAAATATTTAAAATCGAGTGAAATTTGTTTTCAAACAAAGAACCGTACGTATTCTATGAAATATATATTTTTGTAGCGCAAATAGTGAAGCTCTAGTTTGGTAGTTATTTTCATTATCCCCAAGATACTTAGAAAAAAGATGAAATGGGGGCTTCAGCGATAATTACGTCAAAAACTAGGTAAATAAAATGCGTAGCCATCAACGTTTATCTACAGTAAGAGATTCAGTCCTGGTGAAAAGGGGGGGGATACGTAAGTAAGTAAGGGGGTAAAATATGCCAACAGAAACGCGCACACGCATTTTGCACGCGTTGTATCGTTTGTTTGGTTCGCGCTAGGGCCATACATGACCTCGGCATTAGTAAATTTGGATAGTACCAACGAGTCACAAAGCCTAACTTGTAGGGTGCTAACATTTTGTCTGATGCTATAAAGAACTCTATAAACGGTAGGAGTAATTAGTAATTGTAGAATTGATGTATTTTTAGAACCTTAGCTGCTCGTCGAAAATAACAACCAAGTTGCAAGGTGAAGCAACACAGGTCAAATACAAAAAAAATAATTAATTTCAGATTTCCTTACATTAAAGTAGCGTATAAAAGAAACATTAAATGTTCGTCATTAATGAAAACAGTTATCTTATTTGGGACACCCAATTTAGGACTTTTGCAACGCGTTATTTCGCAAATGATATCGGCAAGTAAATTTAATAACGTAATTTTCTTACAACACTTGAATCTTGTAAAACGATGTCCAAAATTATGTAAATTTCACCAAAACAGTATCTAAATTGTCGACCACCCAACCTTACATGATCACTTATACTTACATGCAATTGGGGACGGAGGTTGTAAAAAGTGAACATTATTAAGTAAATGCATTTAATAACCAGAAAATTTGATTAAAAAATTTCCAATTAGTAACCCGAAGAAATTAAAACTTTATAGTTGTTTTATACAAGTGATGATACTGTCTTCTTTTCAGGTCACATAGTTAATCTAATATGTAATAGTAGAATGGATTAATAATAAAACGTAATTACTTATAGGTAATCGCTTTTTAAATCGGAATCAATGTGTTTCGAATATTTCGTTCTAGAGCCTACCCACGTTGTTTCATTGCATAAAAAAAAATCAATAAATATTTCGAAATGATATAATTTGCTGCTTGTATCAATGAAAGATATCGATGAGAACGAGCTATATTAGCAGCACGGAGAGCTGTAGATACCGGTTCAAGTCCCGCCTGAGTCGTAGAATTACACCACCACCAGGACTCAATGGTTGTCCAGAACTGCGTTGATCGATGCTGAGAAGCTACAAACGCTGTATATGTAATGTAAGGCAGACACATCATTTTACACTATATATAACGACAAAGAAACGGGATTATACACTTACAAAATAATAATCTTTACAATAATCACCTACGAATTCAATCCGCAAGCTATAAAACTCCGCGAGTAGCCAACGAGTCCGGAAGCGAACAGTTGGTCATAGCTTTGAACGGTTTACGGGCGATGAAACCATTTTGAACCTTATTCCCCTGTAATAGAGGTCGAGAGAAGGAAAGACGGGGCTTGCAAAAGTTTCCACTCGCCTCCGGCGGATGTCGGCGACAGTTACCTTATTTGGAATCGGTCCAGAGTCGCGGACAAACTTTTATGTTATTTCAATGTGGTTAAACTGAAAGAATTGTATTCCAATGGACCATTTGTTGAACGGTAAATAAGTCTGTTCAGTGATACTTTGTTGCTGAATCTGTTAAGTACTCTTTATCAGTCACTGTTTTTCTGTTACATGCGAATGTAATCCGTAACACAGTACTAAGCCTTTTGTTTTGCAATTTGTTGAGAATAATACTGACTTATGAATGTTCAGGGATCTCACTAATTGTTTACACGAATTGCATTCGTCAAAAATCTGTACTTTTGTGCCCTTTCCATATTGTTTATTTATTTTTTTATTTATTACGATATTACACAATTCGTTTCTGCATACATTATCAAGAATATGGAAAACATCTTTAATTCCGTTTAACATCAGGACGTGTATTATAACAATATACATTTCATTATTATCTACATAAATTACACATATTATGAGAAACTTAAAGAGTCTTCCTGCTTGTAGATCTTTAGTGTACTTTTAACCATTATGTACTTCATAATTTTCTTTTTGCTATTTCATATAAGCATGCTAATTTCGTGTTTTTTTAATTTTATGATAGAGGAGGACAGAGGGGTTTACTTAAATGTAAGCGCGATTAAATTTGTCGGCCTTTTCAATTGTGGACGGTGGTTCGTGGCCCCGGCGAAATTTCGATATACCTAGCCAACCATTTAATATCCATATTTCCAGACGAATGTCAACAAGTTTCAGAAAATATATAAATTGATTAGGAAAAAGAAGCATATAGAATGAGCACTCTAATTAGCATTCTTTTTCATTTAACCACGTCACGTTCACACAGAAGGTTTCTTTCGGGAAAGTTGGTCTAGAGCCAATTAAGCCAGCAGGCACCGACGTCCGCCCCTCTTCCGGTCGTACGTAACCGCTAAATCGTTCCGAGCTATACCAAGTAACGAGATAATATAACCCATGTCTTTGATCACTGCTAACGTTCTGTAATTACTCTCTTTCACAATCAGTTTCAATACTAAGAAGTAATTTATATATTTTAATAATAGTTTAATATGTGAAGGATTACACTACATAATATGAAAATTAAACAACTTGTTGCACCTAACTAATGTACATTTAAAATTAAAGTTAAACTTTAACTCGAAAATAAAGTTTCATGTTATCTAGCCTTCCAATTTTTACTAATAAAAGACGAATAACGATATAACATAATAAATTATATTTATTAATGAATAGACTAATTAATTAACATTTTGGAACCTAAATACCTATTTCAAAATGGCGTAGCGAAGTAGCGGTAACAAGCTCTGACGTTGTAATCAAGCCCGGTCATTTGCATTTTATGTGTTTATTTACAATATTTTATTCTTATTTACTTAACGTCCAATAAACGTTATGGAAATCGGCGAGTCGTTGCTCTCATAAACATGATCTCGCCGGTCCACTGGAGTCGCAATGTATTGGTATTAGCGAGTCGCAAGTTCAATTCTCACCGAGTCTAGCAGATTTGAAATTAAATTTTAGATTTGTCTTGGGAAATTGTAATAAGAAATTCATTTTTAGTTTCAGTCGATGTCTTTCGGAATATTGCAAGCCAAAAATTATAACTTGCCTATATTTAAGTATTGTCTGTAGTTTACGAGAGACACTTGTCATAGATCTAGGAACATTTTATGTTCCATCAAGTAGATTTTCTTGTTGGTCTAGTAGTTAAGACAATCGATTGCAGACAACGAGCCCAGGGATTGAATTTTTGGATCGGACGAAACTTCTAGTTCCAAACGGTTACTTAGATTTTTTCTAATTTTTTAATGGATTTTTAACGGTGCTGGGTCTAAGCTCTGAAAATCCTCCCGCACGCCTGAACCCATCATTGCGACATTACCAGCTGGAAACGACGTGTTTTGAGACAATATTATACGCCATTTTCAGAGCTGTAAAAGCGACTCGATAGCTGTTGAGACCTATTTGGCAGTGAGCTATGGCACTAAGTACAGTTGCGTAGACATAATCGGGATTCAAGCAGAGCGCAGTGCAGCATCCGGGTGTGTTCGCACTGCGTCGGCCAAGGCGGCGCCGGCTACTTGGCAGTGTTCTCGGTCAACGTACTCCGTTAAAGCCTCCATAAGCCAAAACAATTTCACCCAAATTCCAGCCAGTGCTAACACGCGTGGATTTAGTGTATGATCCTTCAGTAGTTCGCGTCATTTCGGAATAGCACTTTATGGGCTGAGCTTGTCTTGGTTCTCTTAACTATAGCTCAGACTAGGAAGGATTACATATTGAAATGATTGATTGATTAACAACCTGAAATGTTTCTAAACTCCATTTTTTTAAAGATATTTCACTTTGTATTATCATCATCAGTTAATTGCTTTTGTAATTGTGTGTGTGATTTCCAAATACAATACATATAAATAATATTTGAACCGCATCCACATCCTGTCACAAAAGTCCTGTCCGTATCGTAATTTTTTCCAATGTAAAATCGATTTTTAATTTATATAGTGCCCTCACGTGCAATAACATGTATAAAATAAAGCTTTATAGTCAAAATACGCCAACAGCACATCTTGTTAAATTATATATAGCTGGAATATTTTATCGCAAGTCACCTCATGCTTGTCGATTCTTCTCTGTTATAAAAAAAGGGCTTATAATAAGTCGTATAATTCAATTTGTTAATTGTTTAATTGATATCACTCGTAATATATCACGGATATTTATAGGCTCTAAAACGTTTTTAGCAGCCTACATCAAATTTTTATATGCGTAAACACGTAGTTGTGTTTGCTTAAAATGCACGGGTAAAATATGAGACACTTCAAATATGAAAATAAAGGAAGGGAATAAAACACGATTATCGGACAATAAAAATCAGGGGTATTAAGGCGCTTTAAGAAATAAAAGTTTTATTAGCGAAAGATAAATTTATTATCACATTTCATAAATACGTAACTAAATCCGGAGCGGACTCTTACATCTAAATATAAATTAGGTTCTAGTCTAAGCAGACACAAAAATTTCCTAAATCGAGGAACAAACATGCCATGATATCACTTTTCTACTTATAATGGCCTATAATTCTGTTCAATTAATTACCTATGAATAAACTGTTCAAAATCGAAAGGAAGGTGCATCGTGTTGTTTGTGACATTATTATAGCTATCCATGCATGAAATGAGTTATTTGGAAAATGGTCCACTTTCTGAAAATACTGTTCTATCCTGAGGAATGTAATTAGATAGTAATTTGGCGATGGATCTAGTTGACTTTTTCTAGCACCCATTTTCCCGAGTAGGGGGTCTCCAGCCGTTTCACCTTGGGACGGAAGCCGTTCTCGTCGGCGGTGTAGTCCACCCTGTACATAAATCCATCAGGACCGATGTATTCGTAGAAACCCTTTGATGCGATGCCCTCGTCGATCGTGTTTGGATTTTTCAAAACGGCATCCTCCTTTGCTCGGATTTTGTTTTCCGTCTCGAAACTGAAAAGGTAAAAAATTGCTTAATTCGAGCGTCTAGACTTCAGACTATCTTAATGGTATTCTAGCTATCTCAATGCTCTTTTCGAATAAATAAGAGGAATGCTGTTTTAGGGGTATGGGCAGACACATTTTTATGTCTGCTACGCTGACGGATTTTATTTACAAGCGCATAGTTTATGTAATGCAAGCAAAGGCGGTCGGCATTTTCAAAATCTTTAAAAAGTTCAGTGTTATATCATTCTAAGTGACATTGACAATCAAATATGAATGAGAATAGCGTGTGAATGCCAATAACTGTGTCGTAAATGAATATAAATGATTTTGAACTCTGACCGCCACACGTCACTCTCATATTATACGAGCGCCAAATTATTAAGTCGGTCAAGGCTCTTATTGTTTGGGTACCTTTCGTTTAGGATTCCCTCGTTTCAATAGGTATGGTAATTCTCATTAAGACTTCCGGGTATAATAAAGTTATTACTAATGTATCAAAAGCTCACAACGTAATTAGTAATGAGAAAACTCGTTTGAGTATGACAAAGTACCCGTTGAGAAGATTTAAGGTACTGCCGGATTAATATTTCTGCTACTGTTATCCATTTATAATATCGGTTCGTATAAGGCAGAAGAACGTCTAGACAAATTAACATAACGGAATATTTAGCTATACAATGACTTATGCTAATATCCAAACCAACAAGATAAGCTCGGCATTCTGACAAGGATGACATTGTTTAGAAATCTATAATATATGACACATTAATAAACGACAAATGCTAATGGAATTTTTACGATAGGGTCATCTTAATTATTTAAAGTATATCATCTTTTCTACGCTATAAGGAAATCGTAAATTAATCCAGTTTTCGATATGTCGAGAATAAAATATCTTTGTGACGTACAGTATCGATCATTAAAAAACGCGGAAATAAGTTCCAGTCTGCCTAATGCCTAATAAATAAAGCAGTCGATTCGCAATTTGTGGATTCAAAAAGTAATAACATAGAAATATAATATTGTCGATTGCATAAAATTGTATCGAGCTCGACGCAACATCTGTTCCGATTTTGCAGAAAAATATTTTGAAATAAATGTTTATTAAATTTTACTTATATGCAATGGTTAAACTATGTGCCATTTGTTTTTTTTTTATTGTATTAGTAAAGATCAAGAGCATTTTAGCTTTTTATTGATATTCAAAGACATCCACAATCAAGAATTTTGCTACATTTTAAGTAGACGAAAAGTTCTTAAATATTTGTTTCAATCACTACCTCAGTATCAATTTTATAAATATACTTGTACGAATGGAACTCCTGTACTTATTAGTGGATTCCATAGCTATACCATACTAAACGTAATGCGAAAGATACACTTCAAATTATTTATGTATGTGAATTGCAAACTTCATCAATAAAAGCAAATAGTTTAAGTTAAATAGTGTATTGATTACCGAACCGCAAATAGATTAATGTCTAACATAAATTCAATCGCTTTTTTACTATATATATTCGATAAAAAAACGTTAAACTACCCTAACTTTAAGCAAATTTTTAAATGGAAAAATTGAATGGAATAACTGAGATTAGTCCATTATTTTTTTACATAGAAGCAGGGGGTTCATTTAACTAATAGATGAATTACCCCAGCCAAATAACACCTTAACAAGATGCGTCGTCGACCTATTGGCTTTAGAAAAAAAAACTATTTAAAGAACACTCACTCGAAGTCGTATTTGTCCTCTTTGTAGTTGTGCTTCTGGCTGATAATCTTGATGCCATTGTTCTTATAGTACCCATCTTTGTAGAAAGGTATATCCTTGGGCGGCGTAAGGACGAGCCTGTAGGTGTCCTGCGTGGCGGCACTTACGTAAGGCTCATGTTCGTGTGCATATGGTCCATATCCTCCATCGTAGGGATTGTCTAGATGGATGTATGGATTCGGTATGTGTATATATTTGCCTTCGTCCGAGGGGATGTATCTAGAACAAACGAGTTTTTCTAAATTTTGCCTTTTCTTTTTACAATGTTTACATTACTAATTGTAAAATTAATAACATTTTGTAAATGGAATTAATTGAGATATTTTAGGATTAAAACATAAAGAATACATTTGAAAACCTTATAGAAATTAGCTAGTGCATTTATACCGTTGTAACCTTTTATGTGATGACTATAATATGCCATATTATTAAACAAACTTAGCCCTTATATATTTACGTAGTTCCAATGTGCCCGTATGCTTTCGAAAACAGAAAAGTGATAAAACGATGATCCTAAGTGCCGATAAAGCTTTTATTGCCACCTTTATTCGACGCTATATTTTTAAGGAAATCCAAGTAGAGAAGACAAAAAGGTATCAAGTCTAATATTTTTTCAGTAAGCTCCATTTCTTGGCAGCTGTTATCTGATCTTAACACCTATTTCTAGGAATATATTAGATTCTATTTTACTATATCCTTTTCGCTCGCGGAATATTGTTTCGCTCATGAGACTGAAAAACTGTTTGCTCAAACTAATTTCTCTTCTAAGGCTCTTATAATATTTGCTATTAATGTAGTTACTTCAAGGCGAGTGTTTTCTCTGTTGCAAATATGAATAACATACGACGTTGTTACTGAATATCATTGTCGCAACTTATTAGTTGGCATTTACTTACTTGCCCGAGTCGCCGTATTTGTATGGATTCCAACGACCGTCCTCGATAGGCGAGCTGAAAGCTACTCCTGCGCATAATGCGATCACACACTGCAATATAAATATTTTAAGTTAATTTCTGGATAATTAGGGTTAGTGATATTTTATTTCAAAGAAGTCATTTTTAAAATAGGAAGGAATGAAAACAATTCAAAAATTTAAATGCAATTTAAATGTTTTTTTTTTTAATTTCCACTTATGCACCGAGGGTTTTTCAGCAAAATGTTATAATTTTAGTGAAATATATTTTTTATAACAACAAATATTTTTTCGAACTTTATTTATATAAAGAATAAAAAATAATTTAAAAAAAATAGTTTTAGTAGTGTCTGTATCCCAATGAAAATATAGTTACCGTCAGAGAAAACATCCTGTAGGCACAAAAAATCGCTCCCGAAAATATCACTGTAACGTTTGAACTGTTCAAGAGATCACTAGTGCACAACAGACGCAATCACTATGCGGAAGTGTATTCGCGGGTGAACTTGTGTGTACACTCCTTAGAGGATTCAAATCATTGTGTTGATTTCAAAATCGACGCTTCGCTTTTATACATTTGCAACATCAACTCATCTCTTGCTTTCCGCGGCCGTGTGTCATCCGTCGCACATTCCACGCACACATGCACGCGGCCTACATATTTTTTATCGCCCAACCAAGTGATCAGTACCACTGATAGAAAATATGAGGCTGCCAGAGGCAGAGTGACCCAATAACAAAAAACATGATTTTCAATAAAGAGGAAAATAAGAATGCGCAATTAAGTTAGGTGAAAACGAATTTGTACTATTATTTGTGTAAAAAATATGTTAACAACTTTCAGTCAGTCATTCTTGTAGATTCATATTTTTAAGACTATGAAAATATAAAGAACCGAAGTCATTGCAGTTAGTCTACTTTGCCCCTAGTGGCCTTATATTACATCGATTACACATTCTCAAAATTGAGTTTAAGTTGTTTAGAAAACCCTTTAACTATTGACAAATCGAAATTAAACGGCATTACGTCACGTAAAATAAATTAAGAGCAATTTAACCACAACATTCTTAGTTTTAAGCCGTTACAAGGGTTTTATTTACATGTGTAATATTCGCGTATACAATGTTAAAATAACCGGTTAAAATAAAGCGAGGTAAACAGTGCTTTAATGAGATCGACTTTTATTAAATAAAATTTCTCTACTACTTCTGGGGATTAAGAACTACATTAAAATCAATTAACTTGGATGACAGGAAGACCGAATAGTTATAACAATACATATGGACGGATAACTTTCTTATTTTAATCGCTACGAGTCTACGACGTAGCGTAGAAAGGCATTTTTAAGAAATGCAAATATATCGCATACATTCTATTATTCCATTTTGATAAGTTGTAAAATCTAGACTATAGCAAAAACGCATTGTAAATAATTACATCAACGGCAAAAGGATAAGCTCAAGCTTGAAAAAATAAATCGAGCGGGCACAGTAACAACACAACAGTAAAACACACATATACAAAAAGAGAATAAGTATATATTGCTCGTAATTTACGAGAGTAGTATACATTTAAATAGAACGGTTTAAAACGCGAAATTTTTTAGTTAATTTGTTTATATTTCGTACCCATGGCTGTTTCAATATATCCGAAGCATCGGGCCGTAGATAAAATAAGTTGTAACTAATTTAACTAAAACCGTTAAAAGTCTTTTATTGAAATAGAGGACAAGTAGATCCTAGGTATATATACAATCGAATATGACTCTCGAATAATCTCTCGAAAACCTGTACAAATACCAAAAGAATTAGACTCCGTTTTAATAGCTTAGCAACATTTCACAAAAACCCCTAAATTAAGAAAACAAAAGACCTAAAATTCTCGAGCGATAACGTAAGTAACGAGGTATTTGAAATGCTTGACAATAAAGAAATTATATTATTGTGGTGATTCATCGAATATGGACGACATTATATCGGTAGACGAACAGCGGTATCCGGAATCGCTCTTAACCTTAAGGTCAAATTGTATTTTAATATCTTGATTGAAGCTTTGAATTCTGCTGAACTGGAGTATTATTATTTTTTGGTAAAAGGAAGATAATCTTTGGGGAAATCCTAGTAGAAATGACGCATCTTAATAATATGCTATGATTAACGTAAGAATTTTTTGTGTTAAAGCGATCGTTAAAAGTTTATTAAGGTCTAACATCTTTAGTAGATTCAAATATTTTTTTTATAATAGTGGAAGACAGACAAGCCTGAAGTTCACTTGATGGAAGGCGACCTATTTTATCTTCGGACATTCGGTAAATTGGTGTAACTACATCCATCCAATTTAAAAATCGAAAATAAATTAAAAATATTTTCGACTCGGGCAGGACTTGAACCGGCATCGCCAGCGTTCCGTGCTTTTGCTCTACCAATTGAGCTACCGAGTCTACATCCATCTATCTATCCATCGTCCATGTAAAGTGAATACTTTACATGGACGATGACCCGAACGGAATTTCGATATAAACCAATCTAATATCCAGCTTTACCCGACGCTGTTAACATGTTTCAGAAAAAAATATTTGTCTAACGAGACAAAATTTTGTATTACCTCTGTCATTGAAATCTTTTCAAGAGTAAGAGAGAACAATATAAGCAGCTATTACAATTTTAGAAAATCGTTCTCTACACAAGATAAAGTATTAAGTGAAAATAATAAAAATATTATCTAACTTTTTATTATATTATTATATGTACGAATCGAAGATATATACTTAACTTGTCTTTCCGAGGAATTTGGCACGGCCTTGTGAAATTTAACAAAATTGATTACTTTTTAGTATGATCAAATACATTTTCTAATGATTGGTTTTGCCCGCGAAAGTAGCACTCGCACCTTGTGAATGCTTTTATGAATTTATTCGAACTTAATGTGTATTTTTACATTAGCCTTTTAAACACTATTCATAAAGATTAATGTTATTTAGTGCGCAAGAGTTAAAATGTTTGAAGTTAGAAATGCCAAGCAACACAGGTTCACATTCCCCTTTGACATCCATTTGTCAATTTTAAATGGTGTAAGTGAAGGAAAACTGCAATTTTGCATTAAATACGTTCTTCTTATCTCAGGCAGTGAATAAGTAATTCACAATAATTTGACCCAAGAAGTCAAATGCGTTACCAAATAGCTTTTAAACTACTTATTATATTCCAAAATGAATAATTCAATTGCAACTCTTTGCAAACTTTTGAATGTATCAATGTGCCTTTGAGAATATAATTTGATTGTCGACATAAAACAATATCGCTGGGAATCTGCAATACGACGTCAGCACATATTTTATGACTCTTCTTCAATCAGGTCAAGAAAGCTTTAAAATTGCAACCCGTTAGTTTATACCTCTTTCGTTCTGATTGCACAAAATATATCGTTTTTCGATAATTTGCACACTTTTAAGTGTTTTGGTCTGGGGTCAGTTAAAATTAAGTACGAGATTTTTAAGGCTTATTTAATATATTTAAATATAATTAAAGTTTATAGTCATTATCTAGACCACTACAGCTCAGTGGTTACACGTATTGTACTATAGAGTGTTGCGACATGCACGAGAATTAATGGATTCGAAATCGAGAAAACAATAAAATGTTTTGTAAGGCGAAGTAAATTACATCGGTTTTTGAAACGGACACACCTATGCGTTCCCTTATTCCACAGACTTATTTTATTGTGAAAGTCACTTATACATTCTTGATCTATAAGTGGCATTTTTAATATAACAATTTTATATTAAATAGCATTTATTTTATAATCTTTATTTTTATCTATAATTCTGTATGTGCGTAATGAATAAAGACTTACTGATTTTGTTTAATACAAATAGTGGAATGAAATAGTAAACTAAACTTTACCTATTATACCGAATTATATTTTACTAATTTCTTAATTATGACCTAACTTAACCGTCCTAATTAAAGATACAATTTAAATTAAATAAGATTAAACTAATTTTATAATAATATAATAATAAAAAAAAGATTAATAATAAAATGTCTGTTTTAATACTGCCTATAGTTTACGCGAGTAGTACACATTTAAATGAAACACTTTAACTGTTTAAATAAGTTTAACTAATATAGTTAAACTTATTTGAAAATTATTTTTAAAATTTTTAAACTTCGGCTAATTTTAACTAATATATCGCGTTTTAAACCGTTAAAGTGTTTTATTTAAAAAATTCTGTTTCTTTAAAATGAAAATCATTGTCATTAAGTGGAAAAGATTAAATTTATAGATTCTTAGTAATCGGTGCATCGTGGATATCATTTGAATATTATAATTAGTTATTTTATCCACACCGTTTACGTCTCTATTAACAATGCAAAATACCGATCGTGAACTAGAAATTTCAATGTCTTCACCTCTACAATTGAGCGATAGAATTTAAATCGGTCATTTCGATACACAATAGCTCAATAAATCGCCACCGTTTTGTTGACTGCCAAATAATTGATACTTATTAATATGACGAGCCGAATTCTATTAATTCTTAACGGTTATATTATTCAATACAAATACATTAATTTTAATGTATTATCCGGCTCCATATTGACGGTTTTCCGTTGAATATTTGTCACAAAATTCAAATAAATGCCTGATAATGGAATTTGTTAGAAAATTCCATACCGCGAGGGTATGACGCAGAAACCGATGGCGCCGGCTACCGGTCTGCGTTCATAAACACTCCGTCTTACTGATCTTCGAAGTTCAAGTGAAGGCGGATCTGTAATAATGTGCTCAATTACTCGGAATCTCTATTCTAACGCACTTTGTGAATGGATTTGAATGGGCTTTAAGGCCATAGCAATCATCTATTCAAGATTCACTAATTTAAAGACTTGTGGAAATACCGCATAATTAAATGTAAAAATATAGCTTATTATTTACAAATCTCTTAATTAAAGGCTTTGAAAGGCTAAACCTAAGGAAGAATATCTTTAATTGAAATAGTGAAAACAAAAAATGCTAGATTCGAACTTTAGAGTAATGATTTCTCTGTCTAAATTATTTTGATTTATCGCGATAGATAATGTAACCTCGTGACATAATTTGTAATGATCAATGGATCTCTTATGTGTGGGTCGATACTCCAATCAGATTCCGATAATTCCGTTATCGCCTGCCGAACTTATTATCCTACATACACTACGCAAATAATGAAAGTTATCTAAAATCATACAATACGCAATATATCATACATAAACCGTTGGTCGTTTTCAAAACTCATAAATCTTATCCGTCTATGTAGGACGAATTTTTAGATTTCTATCCTATAAGAATAATTACATTTTACTCAAATCAATAACAAATATAATATTTCAGATCTTATTTAAATTTCAA